CTATACTATATTTGGCCAGTAGGGACAGTAATGATCCAAGACTAAAAAGTCACTACAAAATGTACTGTAAAATTTTGTCAAAAGTCATTAAAGAAGCCAAACAGAATAACTATAACAGCCAAATTCTAAAATCAAACAATAAAATTAAAACCACCTGGGATATTGTGAAAGTTGAATCAGGAAAGAAATCTGTTAATGAAGACGTACAAAGTTTGAATATTGAAGGGAAGTCCACTAACAATCCACAAGCTATCGCAAGTGCATTTAATGAATATTTCCTTTCATTAGCTGAGAAAACATATTCCAACAACAATAATAATAATAATCCAATATACTATCTGTCTCATGCCTTTAACAATTCATTATTCCTGTACCTGGAATGCTACTAGGTCCCCTGTCTCAACCAGTGATGTGTACCTTTAAGAGGTATGAGAGAAGTCCTTGGTGGGGGGATATGAACACAACTGAAATGTCTGAATTTTTGTTTTTGTACCCNATGAAACTGGGGAGTGGCCCAAGGACTTTACAGAAGTGACAATGATTGCCTTAAAGAAAAAGACAAAAACTACAAAATGCAGCGACCATCGCACAATAAGCCTTATTGCACATACAGCAAAGATAATAGCAAAGATACTTAAAAGAAGAATTGAAAGGAAAATAGAGGATACACTTGGAGAGGATCAGTTTGGATTTAGAAGAGGAAAAGGAACCAGGGATGCAATTGGGATGATGAGAAATATAGCAGAACGAACTTTGGAGAGAGATGAAGAACCGTGTGCTTGCTTTATAGACTGGCAGAAGGCATTTGAGCATGTAAATTGGACCAAATTAATGCAGATCATAAAGGAAACAGGTATCGATTGGCATGAAAGAAGATTGATTAGTAAATTGTACATGGATCAGAAAGTTAGAGTGCGACTAGACAGAGGGGAGACAAGAAGTGTGAAGCACGAAATAAGAAAACGGAAGGCTAATTGGATTGGTCATATCTTACGCGGTAACTTCCTTCTAAAAGAAGTTATTGAAGGAAAGATAGAGGGGCAGATAGAAGTGACCAGAAGACGAGGAAGAAGATGTAAGAAGATGCTGGATGACCTTGGGGACAGAAGAGAACATTTTCATTTGAAGGAGAAAGCTCTAGATCGCATCAAGTGGAGGAACTGTTTTGGAAGAGGCTGCGGACCTGTCGTCTTGATAGATTATAGATGAATGAATGACCCTTTACGTACAATTGTAAGTATGACTGCAAGTTTACTGCCTACAGGTAATATGTTCCAAACAACCAATTAAACTGTTTAAACAAATGTGTTGCAGTGATTAAAAAAAACACCATGCTTTCAAAGTTTATGTACTTTGGGTACTCTATTAAATAAGGTTGAAAAACACTGATATATGGTACTCAAAAAAAGTTATAACTATTTATCAGGTAATCTGCCTTTATTTGGTGGTACTTGTAACTTCATCCATGGAGAATAAGGAAATCCTCTTGCATATCATTCCAACTTTTTTTTACAGGCATAGCTGTTGTTATTACAGTGACAGAAATTGTGACATATGCTATTCAAAGCAGTGAAAACAATTTCTCTGAATCAGCAAATGAAACTGAAGTGATTCTGGCAATTAATATAACTTACACCATGTATCCCAACTACACACTGTACTGCTCTTCAAACCCAGTTCTCCATACAGACTTGACTGCTAACAAAGATGTGATGAGGAGACTGACCGAGACTCAGGAAATGAGTACAAGCAGCATGAAGAGGGTACTGCCATCACTACACTCTCACCTACATGTTTCACACTACATACTAGCCATACGGAGTGATGGCCATCTTAATTGCAAACTGCTGGATACGGAGCACATTGTCTTGTGACCATTTCCAGGCCTGCTCGAGAGGAAGCTGCATCATCCATACATTCTACAGATGGTGTCTGGGAAGACATTCCTTGTCCTGAAAGAGGCTCTGGTGGAGCTGACTCTGGGGTGGAGTTCACTACAAATTTGGGTGCCTGCAGCAAAGACTGCAGACAGGTCTATCCTAGGGCTGATATCCTGCGGATTCAACTGCTTCAGAACAGAATACAATTGTGGGTTTTGCTGAACAATGGAAAGACTTCACATTACTAAAAAGCAGGGATTTTTTTTATAAGCTGAAAATCTATACACTTTTCAAGGAAGACCCCACTTCACACAGCTAACTAACCCAACAGTCAGTCAGTTCAGTAACATGTGTTAAAAAATAAGACTGAAAATAATTGTAAACTGACCAGGCTTCATGGATAATATGATGAATTTTCAGTCAGGTCTGAACGTCTTCAGCAGACATTTTATAGCTTCCAAAATGATGCAACAACTACAAGGCATTTCAACTTAAGAAACTATCTTTACAGTATATGTGGAACTCTTACCACTTGGATAGAAGTTCTTCAGTGATGGCCTATCTACAACAAAATATTCATCTCCAACCAGATATATTTTGTATAAGATGGCATTATGATTGATGAAACTCTGTGCGACACAGGGCGGACGGCAATCCTTCACCCCTTTCTCATTAAATATTACTGCCATCTGTAACAAAAGTGAAATGTTTTAACAACCACATCACACACAATACCAGACATTTTCATGGTGACAAAATATGATGAAATCTTCAGACAATCAGCCACAACAATACAGAGTAGACCTGCAATGTTCCACAGATTATTCCTGTTTCCATCATAAGGGACTGATCTGATAACAGATACAAATTTCGCCATATACATGAATGTAAACCTAACAGATCCCGGCTTTCATTAGTTAAGAATAGGTGAACGGGAGAGCACTTGGCAGAGTTAAGCAATTGTCCATATCAGATTACCACTCTGTACTGTCATAGAAAAATGCCTGAGAAGACTTCACTGCATCAGGACAATCACAGACTTGTACATAATGTCACTAGATGTTAAATGTTGTTAATACCTTGTGGGCATTGCTGGATCCATGAGCAACTGAAGGCTTGCACACTGCAACAAAAGAAATTTCACATTAAAGTGTGCTAGAAAGTTTTGGATATCACATATTTTGTTCAAAAAAAAAACACAGGACACTAAAGACAAAGGAAGCACTTCAAGAATAATATGATGCAACAACCAACAAACTGGACGGTGAGAAGCCAACTGCCTGCCTGTGTTGTCTACATCAGTGTTTCTCAACCTCTGGGCCACAGCGCAGTACCAGGCCCTCGTCTTATAAAAAAGAATTTAGCAGGCTGCAGTCTCACAAAGGCTGAGAACCATTAGTCCACATTACCAAATGGCAATGCAGAAAAACACTTTCGTACCATGACAAATTCGAAAATTTTCCATTCATTTATTTCTTGGTAGGTGAGTAGTTGACTGGTCTATGAAAACTGACATGTTATCTCTCAGTAATTTAAACTGGAAGAAAGTAAGATAATGTCTAAAGGACAACAAATATTGTTTCTGCTCTCTAAGCATTACTGTGGTACACCTGAACAAAAGTGTGTGGAATTTATGAACAGAGTCACCCAACCTGAGGGATGAGTCAGTTCAGTTCAAGGTGATGAGAACTCAGAAATGGCATCCAGCGTTCATGCGGGGTGAAATGGCGTGTGCTGTCAGGCACAAGATAGTTAATGCAAGAAAAGAATGATGCAATGGCATTCAGTGACATAATAGTCAATTAAAAGAAACTGATATCTATCATAAGTGACAAATTGCAAATAACTGCTCTAAAATAAGATGTCAGAATATTAAAATGGATCACATGCAACTGGGTAGTATGTGACCTAAACTGAACGTTGGTCTAGTCACAGGCTTCAGCTAATGGATTCTTCTGTTAATTAAAATTACCCTTTTAATTGTAACAATTACACAGAACTGTATTCTAGTTTAACTATAAGAATGATACAATGGAAGAAGGGAGACAGCTATCCCAGAATTTTTCTGGAGATAAAGATTTAGCTGTCCCTGTGCTTAATTAACTAAGCACCACACCATGATATATGGGGGAGTGAAGGTATAACTCCATCATTCTTGACCTCAACATTAGATGAAGTGAGTGGTCAGCTTCAATTCCTGGTCACTTTACTTCCAAGGAAAGAGTCCCTGGTAGCCATCTGATAAGAGGCTAGACAGGCCTCCAGAGCTAGTGTAGATACTTTGGAGTTGGGAAAAATCTCATCCCTTCCAGGAATAAAACCTTGGCCGTCCAGACCACTGCCCATCACTATACTGAGTGAGCACTGACAATAATAAATGGCACAGGGTAACCATCCTCTACATGAAGATTTGAATCCAAGACCTCCAAAATATGAAGTGACAGGGCTAATCATATGGCAGTGACACCCAGTCAATAGGTTTTCGTGCTGGTGGAACTAACCCTCAGGCTCCATTCCAATTAGTTGGGTAGCAGTGAGTTACAAAATGCCTTCTTTTCATCATGAATTATAGAATTCTACGTATAATACATATAATACGTACTCTCAGGCTCCATTCCAATTAGTTGGGTAGCAGTGAGTTACAAAATGCCTTCTTTTCATCATGCATTACAGAATTCTATGTATAATACATATAATACGTACTATCTCCTCTATTGTGTAAACGCTGCTCAGTATCTACATTTATTTGTTCTCTAATCCTTTCTTATGTCTTGTACATCATCCGTCCTAATCAGAAGATTACAGGTCTTTGTGGCAGATACTTCAAATTCCATTATCTCCAAAAGCCTTATCTTACAAAAATATTTGGAAAATAGGCTTGTGACAACATATAATATTGTCATGCACTGAGCGACCAGACATTGGGTTTCGACTGGTAATTAGATCTACTGGACTCTTAAAATAACTCATGACTACACTGTACAAATCACTATCACACAAACGGTCTTCTCTTCGCTGCTTGGAAACATCTTCCAACAGTGGACCAGCCTCTACTCCCAGGCTGGCAGCCATCTCACACAAACCTACTCTTCTAACTCTGCAGTCCCAAGACTGTCTCCAGACTGACTGGCTTACCCAGCTGGTCCTTCTGATATAGCCTTGGGACAGACCAAACAGAAAAAACATTTCTTGTAGCTGCTATGTTACAGTACAACATGACAGTTGTGATGGATCTGCAGAAAACACTAATCCCAGCAGTATTTCCATTGGTTGTGCTGAGTGGCATGACACGTTCCACTGTTGTGTCACCAATTACAGCACCAGTTCCTACAAATGATTGCCTCTTCCATTCTACATGTCATAACATACTTCATCACAGTGTAACATGAAGGTATCAGACGTCCCTTCTCAGGAACCTGTTCCTTGCAACATGCTGTCCATGAAACCTCTCTCACATGAAGATATTTTGGAATCCTTAGAGAAAATATATTCACATATCATTTTAGTGACAACAGTGATCCTATGTGACACATCAAGTAGGACATGCATAACAATTCACTGCTGGAGTACCCATCACAATTTGTACTAATACAGCAATGAGAAGATTAAAATAAGAAAACCTCATTAACGTGGGGAGGGGAGAAAAAAACTCACCAAATGGAAAGTCCACACCAGCTAACCTTAAAGTTTTAAGGTTTTCTTTGCAATCACTTGATGTTAATTCCACAAATGAAGGCATAAAGACATCTGAAAAAAGAAACAGGACACTTAACACACACAGCTGATCTCTGGTTTCATCACCTGCACTGAAAAAATCTGCTGCCACAACACTCAGCAATATGCATATTTCCAGTTCACAAGTCTGTATAGTGAACTGAGGGGAGGTGAGAATCCATTCGATTCTATTCTAGTCTATCTATAGATCTACAGCCCTTCTGTTGGGCCTTGACCATGTTTTCAGTTCCTTTATTTTATTGTTAGTATTACTGATGGTAAAGGTAAAATTGTCCCTATGCTTAATTAATTAAGCAACACCCTGAAAATATACAGGGGAGTGGAGGTACAGCTCCACTATTCATGACCTTGGCACTAGATTTGTCATGAGTGGTCTACTTTACCTAGAAGGAAAGAGCCCCTGGTACCCATTGGATAGAAGGCTGGGTAGGCTCCAGAGCGGGTCTGAACTCTGTGGAGAAAAGTCTCTTGCCCTGCCAGGAATCAAACCCCAGCCATCCAATCCATAGTTTGTCACTATACTGGCTGAGTCATGTTAGGAGATTAAAATATACAAATGTGCACATGCAGAAAATCTGTACACTGACCCCTAGTGACATGCGTTCATGCACATCTTCTCGAAATTTAGTAAAGTGGTTCAACATGTGAAATCACAGACTAAAGGAAATGGTGCAAACTGGGCTGACAGGCACCTGATCAGCGCTGTAAAGTATACAGTGATACTTACCATGCATCAATTTCGTTGATAAAGTACTGTCATTTACAATATTATATTTCAGAATTCTGTTGCATTGAAGTATCACTCACTCACCCACCTCCATCTTTAATGCAACTTAAATTGTTCACAATCTCTCTTCAATTTAAAATAACATTTAAATCATATCAATTTATACTTGTTTTGGCCCTACCTGGCCATCTTCAGGCAACTGTTCCCTTTTTGAAAACCATTACACTGCACTAAATCATAAGTCAATATATTTTCATGCTGTTGCATATAACAATAGAATGTGTTTGTTCGATAACACAACTCTCTCTCCCTTTCACATTATTGTCCTTTTGCAACGCCCATGTTTCTGCCCCCTTCATATGCATGTTCTCCCTCCCTTTTATACAAGAGAGACATATACCCAACTAGTAAGAACATACATACGAAGGGGCCACAAGAATGAAAGACACAAAAAGAAAATAATAAAGAATGGCAAGAGAGTTTTATTCTCAAACAAACACATTTTAGTGTGAGCAACAATGTGCAACAGCATTGAAATATATTGACTTGTGATGTAGTGCAGAGTGATGGTTTCAAAAAGTGAAGAATTGCCTGAAGATGGCCAGCCGAAACATGTAGCAATTGATGTGATTTTGATGTTCAAATGCATTAAAATCATGGTTCTTGATCTCATCAATTGATTTATACATAATTAAAAGTTCCATTGTTATTAAACCGACTAAAACGATTACAAAATAAAATGGGTATGATGTACTGTATTCTGTGGTGTGTGTCAGGTATTATCAAACATATCAGTTATTAAAGGATGATTTCTTCAGATCACTGAAGGACAAATGTCAGTTATATTTCTAAACACATCTGTATGTACCCCATGTTATAGAGGCTCACTGAAAACAAACTCCCTAGTTTTGAGGTTTAATCTCACTGAATCTGAAACACAAAATTATGAGGCTGTTGTGGAAAGTTCACCAGCTTATGAAGTTTTCCTTCCTTTCTTGCTGCCCATTTGTACACGCATGTGCACTCATCTCTCTCAATGGCAGTAAACTGTGTGCCCAATAAAATCAATACAATGGTGTTGGTTCAGGAGAAAGCCCAACACATCATACGGTTTACTACCTTCAATTCCACGGTAAATATTCAGCACAATTTTTGATGTATGCATGTTAGGTGGGTGTTGTGGATGTCGTGTAGGTGATCCACCAAGTCTGCTGCATAATCGGTTGTGGGTAGTTCCTTGTCTGGAGGTACCCCAAAAAGCAGGTCGCAGAGCAATTGGAGTTCTCGTCCGAACACTAAGTCAGCAGGAGTCAAGCCCATAGTGTCATGAGTGGATGCTCTGTAAGCTAGGAGGACGCAGCACTGGTAAACAGACAACTAGGCGACAAGGAAGCAAGGCGTTTTCCCGTTGTCTGGCTGAGGGTTCACAAGAGAACTACACTGCCTGAGGAGTCAGTTGAAATATAGCAGCCGGCGGAGTCGGTTAAAGTGTAGCAGTCGCCGAAGACAGTTGAAATATAGCGTCAGTCATGGAAAGAAAACCCGAACGCGTGGTTAGAAGATCTTATGTGACAGTGTGTGATAACTGAGAAGTCAGCCAGTGAAGACGTATCGTGTGACTTCAAGACTCTGTGTGTGCCGTAGAACAGTTATCTTGGGAGTGTGTAATTCAGAGAGACTTGGATAGCTCCCACGTTATAAATATGTGAAGACCACTGAAGACAGAGTGAACAGATTATTGTGTAGGGTTTATAAATTGTGTAAACCCGCAACTGTGTTATAACTGATTGTAGTTATGATTTGTAGGTTGTTAAATAAACCAATTAACAATCCGTACGGCGTCTCCAGTGGCAAAACACGTTACAGTATGGACATTTCAGATGACATAGTGATCAGTACAAACAGAAACTTGTCATGAAACCAAGGTGGGACTAGGTCGCACCAAGATCCCAGAAGAGACAAGCACTCCAGAAGGTAACAAAGGGATAAGGAGCAGAGAATTTAAGGAACAAATGAAGACATTACACAAGGCTCTTGGACAAGCTTTCGAGTCAGAGAGCATGAAGAGAACAGTCCGGATTTACAGTATTGCAGAAGGAGAGAATCTGGACACTCTGAAGGCGTCAACCCCTTCCAAAATGAAAGAAATCTTTTGAAAGAGTGCACAGAGGAGGAACCGGTAATAGAGAAGCACTGGCCTCCCCAGTGAGAGCGAATGAGTGAGAAAGTGAAGGATGAATGTGATAAGATGGGACCAATGAATGCCGGACCAAGGAGCTGCTCAGGATGAGCATCCTTGAAGAAGAGGGGCGGAACTAGCGCTCGGAAGATGAACACCTTAGGAAATGAAAACAGGGAAGTACTGTTAGGCTGTTCAGGATGAACCTTTAGAAGGGAGCAATGTAACGTGTTATATGTCATCCATTCCTGATCATCGAAAACAATGGAAACTGCTGAGTTCCCACAGTGACAAAGCGAATACCAACAGACCGTTGACTAGGAATAACTGTGGCAACGATTTATTGAAAGAGCGGAAACAATGTGTTTCTGCAGTAACGAGCATAGAACACACGAAATCGAACCCTGGGCAATGGTGCATTCTATCCCGTCCAAAACCAGGTTATAATAGTCCAGCTCTGAAGAGTCAGTCAGTTAGTTGGACTGAGTGAATGGAGTCGAGACAGTGAGTTGAAGTCTAGCAGCTGCTGAGAATAGATATAGATAAAGTTTACCGTGTGCAGTAAGATGACACCGAGATTAATGGCGCAAGAACAATTGTGACACTGGATGTGATAATAATTGTACTTGAGAGTGTAAAAGAGTGTGTTCAATAAATATTCATGGAATCTGAGACCTACGTGGAAGTTATTTGTTGCGATACCTAGGAGACATGTGATAACTGGTTTCCCAGAAGTAGGTTACCAGAGAAACGCAACGTTACATAGGTAACACAACAGTATGAAGCAGGAGTGCTAATTGCTTGACCACAATGTTCTGTAAAAGCAACATTCACCAGTACCTTGAGCACTACATGAAAATGCTACAACAGTTCCCTTGCTTACCTGCTTTCTCAAGGTCACTGTTGTGTATAATACTGTAATATCTGTAGCGATCCAACAATTTGCGGACATTATCTAGTGGATCAATAATAGCCACTTCTGGATGATCATTAATGTATGACTCAACATGGGAGATCATAACACGGGCCTGTAAAGAACACAAATAGGCACTCAATTCCTGCACATAATCTTCCTCAGAACTGCACTACACATTACAGCTTGATCAGCACCTTGGGGTCTCCTTGATTTGTCAAGGCTATGATGTCTGTGAGCTTGTGCAAAATCACTGTGAATGGTCCCTGCCCTTCCAGTGGTTGATTCAAGTCCAGCTGTAACCCAAACACATTATCAGACACCATGAAAGCAGCACAAAAGCTTACAAATCTGCATTACTTAAGATTACAATAATATTTTTATAATGATGATGTTGGTATTATAATATGATCATATTCCTTTAGTATAACTGGATGATTTAAATGTGATCTATAAAGAGAGTATACCATAACATGTTTCATTTACCTTAACTAAATCAAATCCATATTTCCTGAAAAGAAGAAAATACACACTTAACCTCATGGTTACAGATATAGGACACAAAGAAAAAACTAGTAACAGTCATTCTTTAAATTCACACATGCACGTCTATAAAATGTGAAATAAATTAGTAAAGAACATATTATCAAAGGGACCTCACACACTGGTAATTCCATACAATGTTTCATATTAGCAATCACAATTACAGTACGTTATGCAGTTAGCATTACTGCATTTTCTAACCGCAGTTACAGTACTGATTCCTGCACAGTGGACAAGTCTAGATATCAGTTCACATGAGTAATTCCAAGTCACATCAGCACCCAAAAGTTTAATTTTTAACCTGTCCCTTAAGATTTGAATCAAATTTGCTGAGCTTGTAGACGCCACAGAAATGAGGGAAAATTAAAAAACTTTAGCTCTTTTTCTGCAGTAGAATTAAAAATTACAAAGACATGGTACTTTGGGGCATGACATGGCTTGTAAAAATTGGCCTTGAGTGAGCTATAAAACTTATCTTAGGCCCACCTGAAAGCTACCAAAATTACATTTCCAACAACATATCACGCGCCTATATTTAAGAGATGTCTGTTTCAAGGTCACCAAGTCTGACTATTGATCTTGAATTAATAAAAAATTTTGGCTCAAAAATTCCCAGAATGAAAACATTTTTCTATGAAAATCATACTAAACACATAACTACATGGAGCCGAGCCCTTCATGAGAAGCTAAGAGTCACTCAGCTACTCAAGAATTTACAAACATTTTATGAAACCCATACCTGCTCCCCCCCCCCTCTCCAAAGAAGCTGAAACACAAAACAATAATTAACTGTAAATGCAATGATCATAATAGATAAAAGTACAATAACTGCTAGTGTAATTATGATAACTACATGTAGGTCTAGAGTAAGTACCAAAGCAATACTGTGATGGTATAACATAGAAGTTTGGAGTAAATTTTAAACATGTGGTAGGCTACACATTGTAGCTGTGTGGTCAGCACTTCTGTTTCATATTGGGCCCATATTCAAATATCAACTAAAAGACCAGCTACAATGACCAAGCTTTTTTGAAGTTTTCATCAGTCCCTCAAAACAAGTGCCATAACAATACCTTAAATTAGGTTACATACATTTCATTCCATACCCCTTTTTCAATTCATTCAAAGCTAAAGAGTGTGATTAACTGAAAATCTAATTATAAACCAAGAATACATAGATAAAAATAATGTCCAGCAAATCTCATCTGCTAAATATGGAATAATCTGTTCCCAAGGAACAAGTGTTTGCATCATATAGGTCCAAGCAGTAGATGATTCCAAATCAACCTTTGTGATGGTATCAGCCCTCTTCACTACAAAAACAATGGACTTTGAAGGCAAGATAAGTGAAGCTGCTGATCTCATTAGAGTATTCATTAACACACAAAACACATCCTTCAGTTCTAACGGTAAAGTTATCCCTGTAACAGGCCGTGAAAGCCCATAGTATTGCAAGAAGTTGAGGCTCTCACATCTTCTAGACAATCAATTTGCCAGCCGCCCTTTACCCACCTCCCCGCAGCAAGATTCCTGGTACTCATTTCTATTAGAGGCTGAGTCAACCCCAGAACCATAGTGTAGCTGAAATGTTTGGGTCAACTGAAAAAAGTCCACCTCATCGGGACTCGATTCCATGACCTTCCAGCTGGTAGCATAGTGCCCCAACCAATCCCACATAAAACACCTAAGTTTCAACCACGGTACCAATACCATTAACGGTGATGGCACAATGCAGTATCTGTGTTCCTGATATCCTGTCGATACCGCCATAACAATGCTAACCTTTTTCTCTCCTCATAATCATTTATGGTGGTATGCGCCTGGCATACATACACATACACACACACACACACACACACACAAAACTACTGGAGATCCTGACAGAACACCAATCAAAACCATCTTGGTGTCATGATCTGGGAGTTATATGATGCTGTGAACAAGCAGTGTCGTAAACTGCTTCACAGTACCTGCCGCACAGTCACAATGTTCACTGCCATGTGATGTTGCAAGAAACTATGCCACTGTTGTCACATTACAGACTGCCTCATGGCAACAGATTAATGATATTTTCTCAATGTCAAAAGAAGCTGAGACATCAGAGAAATAATAAATGTCATTTGGTGTTGTATGTGGTCAAGACACTGACTAAATTAGCTGCATGAGATGGACATTATATGAAGTAGCAGCAAAGGCAGTCTGCAGTTCAGTATATTTCCAGCTGCCATCCACATCTGGGAGCCAATTACTCCATTTGTAACCTGAGATGTATCACGGCATGGGGACAAGAAAACCACTTAACATGGACTATACACTAATACTACAAATTAATCCCTTACTGGTCAATATAAAACTTTCTTCCACTGGCTATACAGCTTTAAATAATGTATACTATTGGTCAAAACAATCATTTGATGAAAATGAGATTAAGGTTCATTCTTTGGACAGCTTTTAAGTGAAAGCAATTATACATAACAAACTAATTACTCACTGGTCACATTCACATTTTTAAATTTGGTGAACAGTTTTCAAATGTAACTGATCAAACAAGAATATATGTTATTACTAGGTGGAACAAGAACAACACAATGTTTCCATTGGGCCTATACTATACTTGGTGACCTAGAATCTTACACGTACAAAATACAGTTTCCAGTTCAATTACATCCTCAGTTACAAAATTTTACAAGCTATGTCATGCCAAAAAATACAATCTGTTTTAATTTTTAATTACTGTTGCAAACAAGGCATAGAGGCCTAAAATTTGACATCGTCACTCATTTGTACAGGCTCTATAAACTTACCAAATTTCAGTGACACCTGAAGGTTGTGAGCTGAGTTAATATTGCTCACAAATCATTAAATAATCACCTTAAAATGAAACTTGACTTCAAATCACTGGGTACCTAAAACACAGCTGCCAATGTTCATAATTTGTAAATATAAAATCAACACTGAGAAGTCACTGAGCATAATCACATACGTTTTGTGTTTAGAAGGTCACTACATCATATTTTGAAACTGGAAGCTCCTAAAATAATTTGATGTAACTCTGTAACACAGTGAGCACATATTTGGAACTTCTTTAGCACACCCCCACTGATGTCATTTACTGCCAAACTTCTCCTAACGTATGTTTCGGTCATAATTAGTACACACAACAAACACATGAAGTAAACTGAATTAATCTAAAGTACACTCAACTACCTAAATAAAACTAGCCAATCCTGCTAACTATCACGTAATGAAGTGTTGGACACACACAAAAAATATGCTCATATATGAGAAAAATATTGGTTTCAGATTTCATAATGCAGATATCTGTTGCAAACAGTGTGTGAATGTATGAGGGGTAGGCCTTCTCGGCCCTTGCACTGCGACCTACAGTGGTTTAGTGTGAGTAACTATATCATACAAGCAATGCCCAGTAGAATCTGAAGCTTTTCATGGTTTTCTTCATCCCTTATAGCAAATATTGGGATACTGCCTCAAATTAGACTATGACTGCTTCTCTCCACATCCTTTCCAACTCATTAATCATTCCACTATTTGAGTTATATACAGGAAAGTTACTTGAAAGCCTGCTGCATATCGTTTGGCCAGTTCCACAGAAGAGAGAGAAGCTACTGACATCCAGTCTTTCCAAATGTGTTCTGATCTGCAGCACCATCAACAAGCCCACAGGGGGGGGGGACCAACAACAGCTCCGTGGCCTGTAGTCTGCAAGCAAACTATACCAACCGAGTGACCGCTGCTTGTTGGCAAAGTTAGTGCCAACTTTTACGGATAGAGGGTGTCGCATGGTCAGTGTAACGAAGCCCCATGGCCGTTAATTTCGGTTTTCTACACAGGAGCCACTATTTCCTTGAAATAGCTCCTCAATTATCCTCACAAGGCTGAGTGGACCCCATTTCAGACCCATTATGTCTCAGAAAATCTGGTAGCGACAGGAATCGAACCCGGGACCTCTGGATCTGTAGCCAGGAACTCTGACCACTAGACCACAGAGCCTGAGGGCCAACTGATTATAAATAAAACCCACTCTGACCACATCAGACTCTGGAAATGGTTCCTACTCGTACACATTGACTCCTTTCACCTTCACAAAATGTTCATATTCATGTGTTGAAATTCCTTTCCAGAAATCTACTTCAGAATCTTCTCCTTACTCTTCATATGTACATTTGCTTCAACATATAACACTAGCTTGTCATTTAGATAATAAGTAACACAACTGACAATATTCAACACAGTAGCTCAAACTTGAAATTATGCTCAAGGAGCACATAGCACATACATTTACTTCACAGCAACCGTCCGAAAATTTACTGGGACAACAGTGAAAAGAAACTGTAATGTGCACAGGCTGTTTACCTGTTGTCTATACCACAAATCAAAACCATGCTGTTTGAGTGGATGCCTGTAACATACGTCCCTCCCGCCAAATCAACAGATAATTTCTGTGCAGCATTAGGTATCCACTATATCACTAAAGAAACCATATACAAATAAATAAATTCAAGAGAAGTAATGCTTAAGTCAAAGGGGCATAAGTCAACAGTCACTTTACATGTGTGTGTACCATGGATTTCTTCACCTCCACCACAAAACAGTACATTGCACGTCACATTCTGTTCTGTGTAACTTTGCAAACTGCTGGATGATCCACCTCACAATCTGCATATTAATTCTCCAAAACAATTTTTTTCGCCATCTTGTGTGATGATTTCCGCACAAATGGCATCAACGCAACAGTTATATTTAATTAATATATTAAATATTCTAAAAGGTTCAAACTCTAAAAACATCTACAGTCATGCAACATTACACTGTAACAGTTATCTTCGGAAACTTACCTGCATACACTTCCAAATTCTGTCCAATTAAGTTTTTGGCTCTTCTTTTCAGACATCCAATAACCAATCACTCTGGATGGCTTGCTTTCTGTCATTTTTTAATTCTTCTTGTGGTACTTTTTACTTGTCTGACTGCTGTACTTATCCGTAGGCCACTAACTAGGCTTAGCCTACAAGATAACAGAAAAACTTCACCAATGCTGGCTGCCACGCTGTGCTCCTGGGTTCTATTTACGTTGTACTGAACATCTGATTTCAAACTTCACACTTCAAAATTCGTAGAATGTGACTATATTTCCCATCTTCAAGGAAACCTGACAAAGTGAGAGGCCTTTTACTTTCGTGTACATACTCACGTGAATGAACTAGTTTTGCGATATTTATATTCTGCACTTCATTCGTATGATCACAATGGAACGGAGAGTATTCTACATTAAACTTTTCGTGGTTATAATTTGTAGCTACGCTTCAAGGCTCTGTCTACCTGATTCAACTCACATTTGAATTTACGCCCGTGTACGGTGAAGCTCATCTGAGTCGCTGGTTTATCTGCAGTTAATTACACAATGAGTCATCTTTCAAGTCTATGCGAGTAAACAATAACGGGTAATCTGTGCTAAATGCGCTGTCATGTGAGGCGTGACAACTCTTCTATAACCTTATTTTCGCAAACTCACTGCCATATAAATAAAAATTCGTCCTACCACAATATAAACACAAATTACGTAAAAATGGGCAATTCACTACTGAAAATGTTGACCTTATTTCTTAAGAAATTGATGACAGACATAACCCTTATCATTTACAGACTCTTCACGCTCAAGCTGGACCATTTTTCAAGATGCAACGTAACTAAGTTATGGTACACTCATCTAGAAATATCATAACCGATCATAATAATGACGATCACTACTTTAAACGTACACACCACACGTGTTGGTGCCCGACGCTACGAAGAGTAAACCAACAGCAACCACATGCAAAACGAAAGTCCCTCTCATTCCGCACTTCGCTCATAAAGTTAAGCTGTTTGCAAGAAGCACTACGCTAATACATTTTGCGATGTTGAACATAATTTCTTCGGCATTTTAGCAAAATATATGAGATGAATAAAAAATTAAAAATAATATGAAATCATAACGATGATAAAACCAAATTATGCATGGTATTTGGCATCTCGTGACAAACGGGTTTACTCCTACAAATCTTTGTTTCTGGTTTTTAGCTTTGCTGTTTACATCATAAACGTATCGATGAAAATATTGTGCACACATATGACAAATTTAATTCGAAAGTTCACAATAATACAAGTACGTATACAAATACTTTCACATACCTATAATTCAGTTTTACGGGTAATTGTTAAAATACGTCATTCATAATGTCACGCTTCCACCACACCCCCAGAGAGATACATGTGTAATAACGTTGCGTATCAACCGCAGGTTGTTAACTTTCCGATTGTTGTGGTATCTGAAGTAGATAACAGAGATTGTACATATTATACTGCTTTTACTTCCTTCGTTATTTCATTTTGTTGAGTTAGACTAGTTAGACTAGGTGATTTTGCAGTACGATCGTGACAGGTGACACGGTTTGTAGTACATTTTGCCGAGTTAAAAACTTATCGTGACGCCAGTTATTAAAATGGAATTCGGTGACTGCATTTTCGATGCAGAGTCGGAGCATTTGCCCAAAACGCACGTAAGCTTGCACCATGGTAAAGAATTTGTATGACAGTTATAGGTTATGCCCTTTGGCTCTTGTGACTAGGCATTATGTTTTATTTTTAGGCAACTAACGAAACAGAAGATAAAACATGCAAGATCACCGTAAGACAGGAGAAGGTTCCTAGAAGAATACTACACTTCAGTGATGGAACATTGGAAGAATATAGTTCTGATGAAGATGAACCAGATATACCTGCTCTAGTAACTGCAGAAGTACAACCGGTAATCTTGTGCCTAGCTCAGCTACTTATTTTACCCCAGAAGGACGAGTGCATGACTGAATTTCAAATTCTTAAATGTACATAATCAAATGCAAATCAGGGAATCACTAATGGAATCCCCTTGTTGTAGTAATGAAACAGCAGGTCATTGCTAAGATTTGCCGATTAAATGATGGATTTGTAGCTGGTTCCCTTAGTGTAGTGACTGTTCATGAAATAAACCCATTAAAAACATTAATTCAGATAATTAAACCGAAAAACCACAGCATTTTCTCCACACAAAGTGTAATGGTTATATATCACTATGCCTTGTTGAATTAGGCAGAAATTTCCTGACAGAGAAATGGTTGTACTGTCATTTGCCAGAATATAATTTGCTAAAACTGGCATACTGCATGAAGGTAAGATCAGCATTAAAGTAAAGAAATCCCAAGCCATTACCAGGAACAAAATGAACCTTCTCACTACCAAGGAAATAGTAGTGAAGTATGGGTCAGTATTATGTAGTCCTTGTCAAGAAGATTATCAATCTTGACATTCTGCCATTCTATCCCTCTCGCCAAATATAAGAATACATCTATCCACGGTGGTGACATTAAGAACATTACTACTTAAAACTACTCCTTTAAGAGGTTAGTGGAGTCTCTCCCTCTCATATTTTCAGTTATTCATCCCTATTTGCATGTCTCCCTCCCATAAACTGAAAAATCCTGGAAAGGGATGTTTAAATAGGGACATCAGACAGACAATACTGAGTACCTAACAGAAGTTAACCTGGTTTTGATTTTCACTGATTGCTGACTTGTGTTACATGTTCATTTCAGAGTATGCTTCCATGGGGACCCTGGATTTGGTATCACACAGTAAATGTTGGTAGAAAGTCATTGCAAGTTTGTGATTACATGGGTGAACACCTTGCAAGCATTCTTGGAATCACCACTCCAAAGTACCAATATGAGATAGATGAATACAACAGCATAATGGCTGAAGTAAGGTCCTAGACTAGTTTTTTTATTTTTCAGCTTACATTTCTTATTTTATAAGAATAAGTACATTACAGACATACTAGGAGTACAGTGCTATGAAAGAAATTTGGAAGAAGACGAGGTAGATTGAACTGTTTTTTTCCAGAAAGAAATTGAACACTGAAAAAGATGCACTCCACAATGCAGTATTCAAAATTCTCAGCAGTGTTCTTTCTCGTCTTTTATTTATTTTTAAGCTTACATATAGCCTTTTTATCCATTTATGGCCTTAAATAAAGTGGACCTTATTATCTCTCATATTGTAAACTTACATTACTTAAATACAGAGTAACATTAACACAAGAGTTGTAAACATGCAAACCTGTGTAGTACAGAAGTAGACATTATAGGTTCTTCTCGGAATTCCTCGTAATTTTTTATTTTCTTCACTTTTGCATGACCTGAAATCGTAGGTTTAGTACTGATGTTTAAGAATATGTTGTAAAGGTAAATATGTTCCTGTGCTTAACTAATTAAGCACTACACCATGAAGGTATATGGGGTAGTGGATGTATAGTTCCACTTGGCACTAGCTGGAGGTGAGTGGTCAGCTTCACGCCCCTGCCGCTTTACCTCCAGTACCCATTGGATAGGAGGTTGGGTGGACCCCAGAGCCAGGCTGAACGATGTGAAGAAAAAGAAAATTCTGGACCCAACTGGGACTCGAACTCTAGCTCCTAGCCAATCGCTATACTGACTACGCTATTCCAGTTCCCAAGAATATGTTGCATAATGCATATCTGATCAATAACGTGACTTAAAGTAGTAAATTTGTGTTCAACAAAGAATATTAAGTGATGTTATTTCAAAAGTTGATGATTAATTTCATGGACCTGTACCCTTCTTGAGAAGCCGCCAGTTGTGCAGCTTCTCGAACGTCCCAAAACTAATGGAGTTTGAAGGTTCATTACCATGTTCACAAGAGCGCTCCACTGGTCTGTATCCTTAAGACCCATCTTGAAGTTATCCTTCTACCAACGTATAGGTCTTCCTACTGGTCTCTTTCCATCTGGCTTTCCCACCAAAATTCTATAGGCATTCATCTTCTCACCTTTGCCTGCTACATGCCTTGCGTATCTCGCCCTCCTTGACTTGATCGTTATAATTATACTTGGCGAAGAGTACAAGTTGATTAATACATAAGGTTAACACAGGTAGCAAGGAATTGTGAAAACACACTATAAAGCACTTTAGTCAACTCTGCCTCTAACAGAAACGAGTACCAGGAATCTTCCTGGGGGTAAGAACTGGTCAGTGCATAAGGCTGACAACCTCATTGCCATCTGTGAACTGATAGCCTAGAAAATTTGGGAGCCTCGACATCTCACAACTCAATGGGCTTCCACAGCCTGTTACAGGAATAGCTTTACCTTACCTTGTATTGCCAGTAAGGTAATTAAGAAGCTCTGATGTGCTGGATACTAGTTTGAAGAGGAATAACAAAGTCATAATTATAGCAAAATCACTTCTGAATAGACCATTTGGAAAGCCAAGATTGTGATGTAGAAATAGTACTATAAATTTGATTGTATTATGGCGTGTCGCACTAGCTGGACGCCCCACCCCCCACCCCCGGGAGCTGACGCGCCGAGCGGAGCCGAAGCGAGCCGAATTCCAGCACGCTGGTCGCTATGCAATGCGGGTAAACAGTGGTTGCGAGAGACAACTCCCGACAGCGTTGCTAGCAACACGGGGCCAAACAACAATGGTGCCTATTACGTGGCTGTTTCCTGTGTTGTCCGGAACGAGGCTACATAAGGAACAGCGAAGGCTCTTTACAGAGAGTTCCGAGCAAGCCTANAGTTTTCTTCCGGGGATTAGTCTGATTCCCGGAAGTCGCCATGGTGGCACGATTCTTTATCCATGCAAATCAGGCATGCTTTATCCAGTTTTTACTTTCGTTTTTAACTGAATTCATGGAATATAACCCATACTTCTGTTTCTTTACATTGTTGACAAGTGCATGTTTGGCACAAATTTTCTATCATGTTTTTACTGCGATTTTATTCTTTCCTCCCACTGACGGAACCGGTTGTCGGCTGTTCATAGGTTGCTTCTACAGATCAAGGTTTGTCCAGTGATTGAGGCTAGCTCTTTCTAAGGGGCCCAACTGAGTAGGTTAAACCTTCCCTATACACCTGAAGACGGAGACAGATCCAGTCTTCGAAACGTTGTGGTTTTTTGTCTTTTTTATATACCGGACGATGGGTGAAGTCCAAAATAAGCCAAAAGAAGTAAAGCCTATGAGTTGGTTCTCAGTTCTCAGTTCTCGAGTTCTCTAGTCCTGAGTTAGCCAGCAGTTAGTTGCAGTCTAGTATTTGTGATACTGCCGATGGCAGTAATGTTGAGCTTGTAAATTGTGTGGTTGTAAGAGCGAATGTGGAATAAAATTCGCTATATCAAATATGGCATGAAGTTATTTGTCGTGTTATACACCCAACACGTGACAGTATTGTAAGGAAATATATTCAGTAAAAAAAAAAAAAAAAAGTAAAGCTATCCCTGTGGCAGGCCATGGAGGCCCATAGGTTTGTGGGACGTTGAGGCTGCCACATTTTCTAGACAGTTGGTTCATAGATGGTGGTGATGATGTCAGTATTATGCACTGGCCCCCACTTACCCCCAGGAAGATTCCTGGTACTCATTTTGTTAGAGGCTGAGTCAACCCCCAGGGCCGTAGTGCAGCTTGAAGAATTAGGTCAGTTGAAAAATTCAGTGATCTCATAGGGAATCGAACCTGTAACCTTCCGACTTGTAGCATAGTGTCTCAACCAACTACAATACAGCGTGCCCCTCTATTTAGTAATGTTGATAGAATGAAACTGGCTCAGGATGAGACTCGGTGACAAACTTTAGTGCTGGTGATGATGAACCTTCACATTCTTAGTTTGGATATTTGACAGTTGTGGTCAGGTTGCTAGTTGTCAGTTTTTATGTTGTCATTTATTTGCAGGAAGAAGAAAGGCAAAAGAAGAAGGAATTGGAAATGGGTGGCTGGACAGGTACACCAGCAGAATCTGAAGATCCAATTCAGGTTCCACCAGCCCAGGAGAATGACACAACACACCCCACTGCACAGAGAGATTCAAATGTGGATGAAAACAGATTTTAAGTTTCTGTCTTAGCCTCATATTTAAAATTAATTAAATTAAATAAATTAATAACTTAATATAATTTATTTCTGCAGAATATAATATTTATACAGACTCTTGAGTTAGTTCCGCCAAGTGATACATAGCTGGTTGTTTTGTAAACATAGCTTCAGATTTTTCAAATAAAAATGAATAATATAATGATACAGTAGAACCATTGTACATAAATTATTAATACTGCTTTCAGCAAATGTACATATTAACTTTTGAAACACACCTATTATTATATTCATCTGACATTTCCAGTAGTGTCACACTGAAGACCTAAACATGAACATGACTGAAGGTATATTTTTGCATGGTTTAAGCTAATCATAGAAATCATAATTTTGTACACTTAAGGTCCTATGTTACTTGTATGTGTGGGAAGTGAAGAATTCCATGTAGCCATAGGAAACCATAAGCTTTTTCAAGTGGCATGGCCCAGAGCAGTGAACCTGAATACTGGATTGTACCATACCATTATCCTGTCAGAGCGGCATATGTATGCTTAATGTCATTGCATATGTAGCAGCCACAAGTTATGTAATTTGTATGATACTCTACATTATATGAAACTTCAAAGTAATTTAAATGACAAATGAACTGCAAGAACAGTATTAAATAAAGTGTTACAGAGAACCATGGATAAATGAGATTGTGTCACCATTTTATTCTGTTCTTGCTATACACAGTGAAAAAACATATTTCTGTGGTCATGTTTCCCCCCCAGTTGTGAGCCCTGATAGCCATTAAAGTGACTAGCTACAGACTGAATAACCATGATTTGATTCCCATAATGGGTACAGATGTTATTCTTCATTACGTTATCAAGACCATGCTAACTGAATCCCCTGTTACCATGTCATGGTGTCCTTAGGTTGCTGAAGGAGGAAATGACCCATTAAATTACAGTTTATGGAGGCATTGTACAGTATCTTCCCCTACTTGCCATGTAGATTTCCACTTGAGGCTTTGTTCCTACTGTGTGACATCACACCTAACAGCTACTGTATTTACATCAGCACCAACTGCAGAATTTTGAAAAACCAGTGCCAACCTTCAAAGCTGCGGCACGGTGTGCTATGCATTTGAAACTGTAGGAACATCAGACATGTGTGCATATGTAGGATTCCCCATCCAAAATGGGGGACCTCCCCCACCAAAATTTTTAAAAATAAAATGCCATATGCCTTTAAAATTGGAGGCACACCAGTGGGATCTGCGACATGTGGAGCACACCCATGTAGCCATTCATATCACCCGACCCAACTTCAGTTTCCTTCAGAAGTGTCCCTGGCATATGTTATTTCTGTAACCAAAGCTCTAATACTACTCTTGCGTGAACACCTTTGTATGGCTGTAGTTCATTACCAAAGCATTTCCAGACCCAAAATACTGATGTGATAAAAATAACCCAGTAAACAGAACCAATTATCTCCATCTGAAAATGGTTAGTGTAAACACCATACCTACTGCTCACTTTCAGTGTGTAATCCTTAGGCATGGACAACTTTCTAGCCCACTCTCCTTATTTTAATAAGGAAAGACAGGTTATAATGACACCTGCTATGTTGACTTGCATTTCTCCACCTTTGCTCTTGGAGAAACCTACATCTACATTTGCTTGAGAAAGTCGTCAGATTCCCAGATAAGAAACACTGAACTGTAAATCCTCATCCTGGGTTGAGGTTAGGTTCCTTGAGAACAGTGTACTAAGTAAAACTGTGTTGAACAAACATCAGTATCTTGTGGGTCAAGTAGGAATAGGTGAACACGGCTACATAAGATCTCCCATGAGTGACTAGATATGTACATCTTTTATGAACACAAAAGAAATGGACTTATCTACACTGCTTTAAGTTACACAGGTCTGCAAAAATATTTTTTTTTCAGCTGCATGGAATATTTTTGGTAAACTTTGTTTTCTAGGATGATGAATCCAAAAATGACCTCAATTCCCCCTATCACGTACGGTTTTTTGGAAAATAATAGGGGTTTACAATAAAAAATCCTAACAGCGATGAAAAAAATCACTATTTTATTACATTGAACTAAACATATTATTTCTCATAATTAAACATGATTCATGATATGTTTAACATTGTGTGTTCAGTCTTTTTGCCTGTGAAACCTTTTCTTCTTCTCTTTGATGCTCCTCTGAACATGCTTTCGCTTTCCATTTTCTGTTTCCCGCTTGATCATCCAGCAGTAGTCAGCTAGCATATTCGCATTCCATCTTCCTTGGTAGCATCTTTCGATATCACGGACATCCTGATGAAATCGTTCACCCTGCTCTTCACTATAGGCTCCTAAGTTTTTGGGAAAATAGTCGACATGGGAGTGTAAGAAATGAACTTTTAAGCTCATCTTGGAACCTTGAGCTTCATCTGCAGCCAACATGCGTTGTACATTGGTTTTGTAGAGAGGGTTTTTAGTGTTCCCCAAAAACTTGTGCACTACATCTTTGAAGGAGTCCCATGCTTTTTCTTTTTCTCCCATTGTTTCTGAAAAGGGGATCGGTTAACAGTTTTCGTATATCGGGACCAGTAAAAACTCCCTCTTTCAACTTGGCTTCAGACAGTTTTGGGAACTTGGAACACAAATATGTGAAACATTCTCCATCTATTGGCAGTGATTTTACACTCTGCTTCATGAGCCCTAATTTAATATGAAGAGGTGGTAAGAAAACCTTTTCAGGTGGAACCAAGGTCGTATTAATTATGTTTCTTTCACTGGGGATTAAGACATCTCGAAGTGGCCAGCTCTAGCTCTTTCTAAGGGGCCCAACTGAGTAGGTTTATCCTTTCCTATCCACCTGAAGACGGAGACACATCCAGTCTCTGAAAAGTCGTGGTTTTTTGTCTCTTTGTCTTTTACATACAGTGTGTACAATCAAGTGCGCGCCGCGGCTGCAATTTGCCGTGAGTCATACCACCGCAGAACGGATGCAACTCCTCCCCGCGACTGCAGTGCCGTTCCCCGATAGCGTGAGTGTAGTGGTGTCGCTGAGTCTCCGTCCATCAGTTGCTCTACATGCACACATTTATAAGAATACAGTAAAAAGATAACTTACCGTGGTTTATAACAGGTGCTGAAAGTGACCTCCTTCTGCTTGCAAACATGCCGCGCATCTCACAAATAAATTACGCGACACTCTCTGCAGTTCGTCGACGGTAATTGAATGAATTACGCGTGTAATTTCATTTTGAAGACTATCAATGCTGCGGGGATTATTTTTGTAGACTTTTTGCTTCAGGTTGCCCCAAAGATAATAATCAGAAATACTGAGATCTGGGGATCTGGGAGGCCACAGTCCTCTACTGACAATTCTGTCTTCAAACACTTCCTGTATTGCGACCATGGATGCATTAGCCGTATGTGCTGTAGCGTTGTCCTGCTGAAAATACCCGTATTGTCTTTCTTCGGCATTCAACTGATCGAAGAAGGGATTCAGTATGTCATTAATGTACCGATCAGAGTTCACGGTATCGTGGAAAAATATGGGGCCAATGATTCGCCGCGGGCTTACAGCACACCACACACCCACCTTTTCACTATGTAATGGCACTTGCTGTATAGCGTGAGGATTTTCATTGCTCCATATTCTTACGTTTTGTGCATTGACGTGGCCACCAACGTGGAACCACGCTTCATCAGTCATGAATAGAAGCTGAGGATCCACTATTCCATCGTGTACATTTTGCAGCAGCCAGTTGCAAAAACGAATTCTTGCTGCATGATCTGGTTCTTTCAGCTCATGCACAACTGTTACTTTATACGGGCGAAATTTGATTAACTTTGTGGCTGTGCGAGCAGATCCTAGCGAAACACCAGTTTCCTGTGCTAAGCGTCTTAACGATTTTCGAGGACTGATCTGTAATCTTGCCTGAATATCCTTAACCTTTTCTTCAGTCAGCACAGTTCTCTTCGATTGCTTCTTCTTGTCACTCACTGAACCTGTGGCCCGCCACTTTTTCAGAAGCCTGTTTACACACGACTTTGTGGGAACTGGCGAGTCAGGATATTTCTGACGAAACCTACGTGCGAATTTTCTGTAAATGTTTTTCCTTGCAATAGTTTCGACAATAAACACACGCTGTTTAATAGTGAACTTCATTTCCACCGTCTGTCGACAGCTGTAAACATTCCACTCCACTTCCACAGCAAGACAAAGACTGACTGTTTAATGCAACCTCAGGTTCCGATTATGCAACCATCGGCGTAGGAGCACTGCAGTCGCGGGGAGGAGTTGCATCCGTTCTGCGGTGGTATGACTCACGGCAAATTGCAGCCGCGGCGCGCACTTGATTGTACGCACTGTACCAGACAATGGGTGAAGTCCAAAATAAGCCAAAAGAAGTACAACATGGTTAATATTTTGAAGTCTTCACAAACCATCCATTGATGTTCTTGATAGTTGACCTTCTCAAGAATCACAGCCAAATTGTTACAGTTTTCTTCCAAATGCACTTAGTGTTCCATAGGAATTGATGCAAATATATTTCCATTTTGCAGCAAGACTACTTTGAGGCTTGTTTTAGACGAATCAATGAAAATGCGCCACTCAGATGTATCATATTCTATTTCAAAGCATTTCATGAGCCCTTGAACATCATTACAGAAAACGAAATTTCCCTCTTTGGAGAAAAACTGAGTGAATTCCCTCTCTTGGTGCCTGTACCACGAGAATGATGTTCCAGGTGACAGCAAGTTTTTATTTTTTAGTCTTGACCTTAGCAATTCAGCTGCATCTTTGGAAAGGGCTAAATCTCTAACTAAGTCACTGAGCTCACTCTGAGAAAAAGGTTGGGGTCCCTCATCAACAGAAAAATCTGAGCTGGATTCATCCTGGGGTGGTAATATAGTTCTGTCCTCCGAATCACTCTGTATATCATCCAAACTGGAAGGTGGGAGAACTGGTACTTCAGAGCTATGTGGCACTGGACGAATAGCTGAATTAAGGTTTGGGTAAGATATTTTCTTTTTATTTTTTGTATTAAAGCCTTTCACATCTACCGAACAGAAATAACAATCAGTTGTGTGGTTTTGCTGTTCACGCCACATCATAAGAATGCCAAAACGAAATGAGTTTTTCTTAATGTGATTTGTTTCATTCTGGTCCGTCACACTAAAACTTAAATAGTCACATTAGACAGTGTTGATTTTGTCTTTGTCATTGTAGTTTTTCTTGCCCTTAAACCACAAACGAAGATCTTCCTCGCACCTCCTGCACACCTTGTGAGGAGCCCAAGGTTTGTCTTGATCCCCAAGTTTCAATTTGAAATAAGCAAAATACACTTTCTTCACAAAATCCCTTGTGTTATTTTGTTGACTTTTAACTATGTATTCATCACAAATAAAACAAAAGTTGTCCGGAGAAATAACACAACCTCTTTGAGCCATAATACAGAACTAAAACACAAGCACAGTCACGTTTGAATGCAGGATGTAAACTGAGTGGCTAATACATCAACTAAGATCCTGAACTTATTTAGCATGTTGAGACATGATCAAATCTGACAGCAGGCTTGTTTACTCATTCCTATTGCCCCAAAGAACATGTCCAAACATGCTCAACCGAGCTAGTAAGATTCCTCACCTTTCACTACAAAGTAAACGTGTTGGGACATGATCCCCTGAGCTCCCCACACCACCAAACCCACCCTACCAACCCTTTCCACTGCCCCCCCCATCCCACCCATTTTCTATTTGTATTATTTTTTAGATTCACTCTTATAAATATTATTTTAAAGTAAGAAATAATTATTGGATATGGTTTTTAGAATCAACAATAGGATACCAGATTTAATGTTGAAGAGAAATTTCATGCAAAATTAAACTAAAAATATGAGTTTTGCAAAAAAAAATTGACATGATGGATTCTTTTTACTACTTTTTCCGGTTTCAGTGAGTAAAAGTCTATAAGAAACAGTAAAAATATCCTATGCAGTTTTTTGGTTGCAGACCTGTGTTATCAAAAGCACCAAAGTCTGATGTTTGGATTGCATGCCCATGGAGATTTCAAGTACAATAAGACTCATTCATGTCTTGACAGTGTCTTGGTCCATAAGGATCAGGGTTCTAGCCCGGAGCAAACTGCTTATAATCAAATTTGCCATGTCTGGCAAATAACTATTTGTATTTGTTTTGCAGGATTAAGCAAATCTGTACTGGAAGATGGTTTAAAGTATTAGCTTTTCATTGACTTCATTATTAAAATGTAAATGTAACTGACTGTACAAGTGTTGGGAAACTCTTACGCTTGTTTATATGACTGATAATCTAGACAACAGCTATTTTTGATGTTAATTACTTCTAATTATTACCAGTTTTCACGTTTGGCAAATTATGCCATCAGTTACGTCTGATGTCAGTTAGTTCTAATTATTGTCTATTTTCCCTTCTGGTGGTATAAGTCCCTTCTTGTTGTTGTCTGAATCACTGTAATTACCAAATATGATAATCTATTTAAATTTAATTAGATACTAATTCACCAGTAATAAGAATCTCACAGGCATCACTTTGCTCTACTACAGAATCTTATCTAGAATCTGACAAGACTGTAAAAGTCTACAGTGTACACATAACAGGTGCATTCAGCAGGAGGGCTATTCAGAAAGTAACCTCTGGTGAGCTGTTAGGAAAGCAGGCGTGAGGAAAAATTTATTAGATACAAAAAATATGTATATATTTCTCAGCACAGACACTGATGGAATTAAAGCACTTAACGTATCGGGGAATAAGTTTTTGTATGCCTGTGTCAAGAAGTCTGCCATCTATGAGCTCAGTCAGGTTTTGATGCCTTCCATTGACTCCTCATTGTTGTTCAAGCACTGTGATCCCAACCAGTTCTTCAGGTAGGTAAACAGGTAGTAGTCACCTGGAACGAGATCAGAGCTGTAAGGATGGTGGTCAAACAACTCCCAGTTGAAATACTCCATCAGTGCTCAAGTGCAAGCAGCTGTATGCAGATGCTCATTGTCATGGAGAAGCACTACACTGGATGTCAACCTTTAACACCATTTCTTCTGAATGGCCCTATGCAGTTTTTTTTTTTCGCAGTACAGTTCTGATGTCATTGTGGTCCCTTGCTGCATGAATTCTACCATCAGCAATCTTTTCCTGTCCCAGAAAACAGCTGTTATCAGTTTTCTGGCAGGCAGACAATGTTTGCTGAAGCTTTTTCCTCTTGTTTGGTGAATGTGTGTGCATCCACTGCTTTGACTACTCTGTGGTTTCAACATTCACAAATGAAACCCAGGTTTCATCACATGTTACAATGTGACTGAGAAATTCATCACTATCTTTGTGGTATTGCTCTAATAAAAGACAAAGTCAAAGCCAAAGCCATTCTCTGTTTTATGGGCACCCATGAGCATTTTCACAAACTATCTTGCACAAAACTTGTGATAGTTTAGCCTGTGATAATCTCACAGGGAACGGTGTGTGAAATTTGTAGAAATTCATACAAAAGTTCTGAAATTGTGAAGCACCGTCTTTCACAGATTTTTTCATTAACACTTTGAACAATATCACTCACTACAGATGGCTGATCACTTCAGTCGTCATTGTGAACATCTGTTCGCCCATCTTTGAATATTCTACACCAGTGTCTTAACAGTTCCTTCACCCATTACATCTTGGCTACACACAATTCATGATGGATTTCTGCAGAACTCATTTTAAGGTGAAGAAAGCAGATAACAGCAGGAATTTCACAGCTGGTGGGATTACCAACAGTCTGGTCAATGGCTATCAAAACCCATTACAATCACAGACTGGGATCAGAAACAAGGCTGAAAGTAACTGATGCTAGGAACCCCCACCCCCAGACCTGTAAAGGTGGTTCTCAGAACAAAGGACAAGAGTTATAATTAGGTAGTGAGGAGGATTAAGGACCTCAACCCCCAGTTTCATACTGAGCACTGGAGAATGCTGGACAGGCAGCCGGCACTGAAAAGTCAGTGGCGTATCTTTCTTATGGGCAGGGACTCTGTGAAAATTATCAAAGATATCAGGTGTAAGATTTTTATAGGCCTAATACAAGAACCATCAAGGTCCTGTATGATACTCAAACGGGACACAAGGGAGAGAGGCAGGCCTTGGTGAGACCATCATTCTCAGAACCTGATGTTGAGGGGAGGGACTACTATTGCTAACCTTCCAACATTTCTGCACCATACACACCATCAGAGTGCCAGTTTATTAAAGACAAAAAAGGAAATACACATTTCATTCAATATTCACTTCATTAATATGTATATTCACTATTATGCTTGTAAGGAGTATGGTGGATCTTCTAATGTCCAATTATTTTCATTCATTATTTCATGTTCCCTGTGTAAGGAAGAACTTACATATTTCATAGTCACTGTCACTAAAAATTATATAATTTACAACTTTCTGTTATACAAGTTGCTTCAAATATCTTGATAATTTCATTAACCACATGCTGACACTTCACATAATTTGATACTGTTTAACTTCCAACATCTCGTCAGCACTCAAGGTGATGCCAGCTGCATCTGGGTTGTATGATGGTAATTCCTGCACCCACTCTGATAGAATGATTCCGGTCTGAAATACACAGGTTCTGGTTGATTTTAATATGAGAACAAATGGCTAACACAAACACCACTCCAACTGAACAGTCATATTCAAGAGTATAATAAAGAGATAATAAAGGACAGAAATTTAGAAAATGTTAATTCAATTACAGTGCAGCCCCATCTCATGTTCCTTAATTTACAATTCGCCCTCAGTTTAGATTCAGCTCCAATTGCCCAAACTCAGTATCAGTGTTAGATTTCCTCTTTTAAGATTTTCCTCAGTTTAGGATTTAAAATTACTGTTCCTAAGAGGAATGTACAAGATTAAAATAATGTGTGAACTGGGTGCAGAAGGGAAGATGAGTCACCTCTCAGCATGTGCACACATAAAAACTGAAAGCTCCATACTTCCTTCTTCATGTAATTTCAGAAACTCAGTTTGCCTCAACTTTCACATCTGAATCAGAAAATCTAGAAATCTGAAACCATAGCGGCAAGGCATGTAGTAGGCAGTACAGCTGAGTGCAGAGAACATAGACTGCCCTGAATATCAAAGTGTGGTAAACCAGCATGTGCTATGAGAGACAGGTAGCGAGTTTCATGCTGTTAGATTCAAAGTAAGAAGAACAGAAGAGTTCAGCAGTGTGCAAATAGTAGTGAACAATAACAAACTGAATAAAGGATATGACAAACTGTAAATAACTTCTCCAGAATTGATAAACATCACAATAATTTTGACATATACAGAGAACAGTACATCCCACAACTGCTAAAAGAACTATGGCTGGAAGGAACAACAAAAACAACCCCCTAAAAGTCAATGGCTGGTTCAAGTGCAATAGAATGTTGAAAAAAAGAAATAAGGTGCCACCCAGCTCTACAGACAGGAAAGTCGCATAGTTTACTCAGATAATTTGGAAGGAATAAGTAAAAAGTATTGTACTGATGAGGAGTCAAGGATAACCCTGAAATTTCTGTATGCATTTCCTGTCTCCCCATCTGAGTTACAAGGCATGTCCATTACAACATTCTTGATTTGACTGCAATAACTACACTACTGTACACATCAGGAAGTTTCCACTTTATGTAACATCATTCAACCTTTAGCTACTTTATTCTGCCTTGGTCCTATATTTTTGTTAGTATACTGTCTTAAAATGCTTGTAATTTATGTTCTTCCCTCACAGGTAACAAAGAGTCTGCTGGTTTGCTACCCTTCAGTTTGGAACCCCTATCTTCTTGTCTACAAACGTGACTATTAAAATATACAAAATGATATTTTTACCTGTTTCACATAAATGTGGTTCTCTCCTTCTCCCCCCCTCTCTTTCTCTGAAGGGAGAACCTAAATTGCAAGTATATAAGAATATTTGTGCCTAAGAAAGAGGAAGTAAAATGAGAATGGAGGAAGTTACATTGTCAGAAACTATACAATTTGTACACTTAACCCAATATCGTATGGATAATTAAATCAATATGGGCAGAATATATAGTACACATGGAGGAAATACAAAATTTAGATCGGAAAGAAACAGACAAACTGCAAAATATAGACATACATAGAAGGATACTACAAAAAACATATCTTGGAGACATGGGTGTGAAGGTGTGGACTAGGTCCAACGATGGCCTTTTGTGAATGTGATGAAGAATCTTCCAGTTCTAAAAAGTCGGGAATTTCTTGACAAGGTGAGTAACTCACCTTTATAAGGATAATTCTATACCATGGGATACAGGGCTAGAAGTTTGTTTCTAACATGAATTGACCTTCAACAAGTAACAGTTATATCTGACAATCACTGCTGCATATTTCAGTTGAAGGTTACGCGTAACACTTACCTGGAGACTTGAAAACGTTTCTTCAAGAGATGGTATAGTGACAAGCAATGTTCCAGATTTTATAGTTTGCCTCAGAAATCTCCACATGGATGTTTGTTGTTCAGGTTCCATGAAGAACTCAAACACATTGTTCATGATGATGACATCAGCAGAAAGGATTACATCTGGCCTGTGAGCTATATTTCCTTCAATAATCTCAATCCGATCCTGTAGGAGTAACAGTGTGAAACCGAAGTATCACAAAAGGCTGGGATTAGGCATGGGGCAGTTCAGATGCTTTACTATCTGACCTACCCAGCGACAAAATGTAATGAGTTCATTCTGAAGTTATTTAACAATGATGTTCAACTGCAGAGATTAGGGTGCACAAACAAGGTTCTAGGAACCAATACATAACTGTATAGATATTACACTTGATGTGGTAGAAATGCTAAAATAAAACTGTAGTTTAATTTTATTTTTATGAGTTTACATAAAGTACATAAAATAAATGTATGCATGGGAGGTTACACCTGTCCTGTACACACACCTTCCCACATATGATCAACTACCAAGGTAAAGGTAAAAATGGTAAAGTTGTCCCTGTGCTTAATTAATAAAGCACTATCGCATGGAGTCATGTGGGCATTCTTGACCTAGGCATTAGATGGAGGTGAGTGGTCAGCCATTTTACCCCTGTGAAAGTGGCCCTTGGTACCCAGCTACTCAGCACCCACTGGATAGGAGGCTGAGTGGGCCCCAGAGGTGGTCTGAAGGCTGTGGAGAGAAAAATCTTACCCCAGCCATCCAGTCCATAGCCCATCACTATACTGACTGAGCTATTCCAAGTCCTCAGTTAACAACCAAACATACGACAACTGTTAGGGAGAATTACAACCAAAATTTGTCATATAAATTTTATTTGGGTTTATAATGGTCCAGTATAACCAGTGAATTATGTAAAGCTAAAATTTAGGTATATCAGTTTTACAAGAACAACCCACTGTGTGAAAACTTAGTACATGACAATGTACATATATCACTAAGATCTATAGTTTTTATTCAAACTATTTATTACAATGTGTATCTAAAAATGGGAAAACTATATAATTTTAACAACAAACATGACTGCAATTTTTTGCACTTTGTTTATGCCATAGCAATAGAATGCAAGGTGAAAGAAGAAATTTTTTACATTTTTATGTCACTTCCAAATAAGGAAATGTGTTTCCTATAAAAGTTTACAAATTACTGACTTTTATACCCAAAGGAGAGATTATGTATCCACCTTCTGTTGATTAGCTTTGTCAGCAACATACTTGTATGTCACTTCTGATCAGCAACTGTTACCTCTGATTTCTGCCACAAGCATGCAGCATATGATGAAGGCACAAAGAAAAATTCTAATGCTATTATGTCATCTCCAAATTAAAAAAAAACACCCAAATAAAACATCTAGTCATGATTATTTTAATATCAAAGTGTTAATGAATGTAGAGAAAAGATGATGTTGGAGGACATGATGGACCTGTTGGCCTAAACCTTGACAATGAAGACATAAACCCTCTCTACCTGACTAGTTTTAACAACAGCACACTTGTTACATGAAATAAGTGAGGAATGTTTGATTTTTATTGAACATTACTTTTAGCACTGAACTTACAGATTGCCAGATTGCACAACGTTGAAAATTTCCAGATCTGGTACACTGATAACATGCTCACCCATTGATCAGGTTTGAGAGATGAAGTGTAGACAAGATATGTTAGAGAGTGCAATTGTGCTAAATAGAAGGAAGAGGTTACTTTTAGATCTCTTGCAAACATGTATGGTGCATGGTGTGGACAATTAATATAAATTATTGGGGAGAGGGGGGGGGATAAACACACACACTCTCTCTCATAAGTTGTAATTCTTGAATCACCATATGTTTTGTTATGAAAAGCTTAAAGACGCATATATAAGCTGTATATGTCAGCTCAGCTGCAATAATGTTAGGTAGTGCAATGCTGTCTAATGTCTTCTTCTAGTACGGAAAGAGACAGAACTAAAGATGATGTTAGTTCATGCATTAATGTCTCGCTAAACAATTTACTAGCATACCTGCTGAATCTTACACATACCTGGAAATTATACTTCTTTATAACTTTGTTCTGAATATTGCAAAAATCAGAATTTATTTCAATTCCAACTATCTTAGCTGCTTTTGAATAGACATATGCCTGCAAAGTAAAATAAAAAAAATCTAGAAAGAAAAATTAAATTATAATTTTAAATAACTATTAATTACATTACAAATTTAGTTGTCATAACAACAACCCCATTTCTCAAAGTAAGACTGTGAAGACTGCCTGCCCAGAGCATGAGGACACACTCCAAGGGATAAAGATATATGCTATTGTCACAGATTAGTGACTAGACACAGGATTTGGACTGATAACTGAACTTATTGCTCATAACCACAAAATTACAGCACTTTTATTATTCTTCACAATCTACAAATACCTATAGCATATTTATTCTTCACAATTTACAAATACCTATAGCATATTCAAAGTCTTTCTGGTGTGCTGTACAGGCTGGCTAATACTTTTTGGCCAGGGTCCTTCACTGTCAGCACATAAGAGCGAGTCTATACCACGAACTTACTTCGTCTGCAGAGAGAACATTCGTAGGCTGGCTGCTTGTGAGGTTGGAAGTTGCTCTCTGACTGCAGGATGAATTTAACTGGAACTTTAGTCCTATCAGTCACAATTCAGGCTTTTTAACATCCTATTATGATGAACTAATTTACTCACAGTATGCTGCACTACACTAGCAACGTTAAATTAAAATACACATAAACCCAACACAATACTAATTATTCGTCTAACAGTTCCACTCCAGACAAGTCAATGTTTTCACTGAGTTCAGTTGTATCATTATCACTGGAGTCGCTGTCACTGCTGTTTTCAGAACGTCGGATGATAATTCTTTCTATAGCATTCTCTTTAATTCCCTCTTTTTCGATATATTCCTTTTCATTCTTTTCGGTGTGGTTGCAAACTTTTTCCCAATTCTCTATTCCAAATTCACTGAACCATTTCTCACACGTCTTTGCCACGTCATTCAAATGAAATGAGACATTTTCTACCCCTACTGACTGCTTACCATCAGCCCAAACGAGTTCAATCGGATTCAAGTCTGGATGATAAGGTGGAAGTCATAATACCATGTGTCCATATGCAGCCATTATGTTGTCCATTACAAAGATTTTGTGGAGGGATTTATGTGCCTTTATCAGGTCATAGAGCTGAATTTTGAGCATTCCATTATGAAATGGCACACTGGTCACTGTAAGCCACTCCATCATCTTGGCCTTCATGGTCTGGCTGGTTGAAGCCTTACTAAACTGCACGTTGTGATATGGGGCATTATCTACAACAAGAACTGATTTTGGAGGCAAATTCAGAACAAGTTTTCCTGTTGGCCACTTCTGATAATTTGTCGCGTTCATTTCACTATGACAGTCCCCAGTCTTGAGGCGAAATTCAAATATCAACAATGACCTGGGAATGAAGCCGGTTCTGCCTCCTGCGTGCACAATAATCAGCCTCTGGCCCTTCAATACGGGTGCCATGTACCCTGATGGAGTGTCATCCGTCCAGTTTTTAGGTCTGGTGTGACTGCCGTGAATGAAGGTCTCGTCGTCTTAAATTATAGTCTGACCTTCCTCCCTGTACTTCTTTATTGCACGGAAATATGCTATTCTCTTCGACCTAATGTCGTCTCTCTCGATCAAGGCACCCCTGTTAGTTCGCGTTTTCTTCCATTTAAAACCCATCTTCTGTAAAATCAATTTCAGGCTGGTACTACCTCCCTTGAAACTTATGGTTTCCCTGAATTTTTGAAGTAGTTTCCTCACAGTAGGCACAGTTTCTTCTTGGGTGTAGAAATCATACACTGTCCGTCGAGTCACAAATATCGAAATCATCTGGATTTGTTATCCATTTAGGTACAGAATGGTGTTTACCGGGAGTTCCGAACATAGCACCTTCTTTTTCACATTGAGAACCTTCATTCAGAATTCTTATTAAACTTCTTTCTGAAACTCCAGTTGACCTTACTACTCTCTCTTGTACCTTTCTTAACAGTATCAATACATGACCCGCAGCTGCTTCACTTTTCATAAATGAATGGACGTTGTTTACAACCTCTCAGGTCTGGCTGTGTAATGTTTTGTTACCAAGTTTTGACTGAATAGGTTGCATTTGTTTTCTTTTTAAATGTGTTACTACCCTAAAAGAAATATATCAGTTAAGAACAAGCAACTGGCACATGGGAAAAGCACACAGTTATCTACTAGTAACAGCGATCCTATGAGCTCAACGTCTACCTTCTTATTGAGGCAACACAGTGTTGCTGCGCATACTCAATAATCTTAGGCTCACCGACTTGCGTTAGACCACTTCGCATCGGAGATCCACCGGCCAAAATTGGCTGTCCCACCTATATCTTCACATACTCCTTGCTGTTATGGCCTCCACAACAACAGGGGTTCTCTCTAATGTGTCAATGCTCGACAGCTCTGGTCTGGTCTGTCCGGTAAATTACCGCTGGCCCTCACCAGCAAAATCATTCTTTGTTACAGGTCCAACTTTTACATATCAAAGGCCATACAAAATACACAGAGAATAGCTTCATCTTTAGTTTGTTCCTTTATCTAACAAGAAAATTCTTACCCCAAACAGTGCAGCACCTAGCCGTGAGCCAATGTCAAGGACAATTTTGTTGTCTAGCGGTGGCAGCACAGACTTGAAAATCAATAACAGCTTCTCTCTGGACAAAGAGTGTGAAATGAAGGCTGTTGAGACAGAAGTACAGATTATGAAACAGTGTGGTTACAAATTACCAATTCCATGGCACTGGGTCTTTCCAAACTTGAAAAATTTAATACCGTATGGGATTAATGGGGATATGGGAATGCAGCCATTGAAAGTAAAAAAATAAAATCATGGCTACCTCAGCAACGGCATATGACAAGTCAGATGTCACTGACAGAAGTAGTGTCAGTTCAATTCTGCAGGCAGTGACGAAGGAACAACACACACAAGTTTATTGTTGTGACAAGCCAGTGTACACTCTCTCATTTCTTTACATGAATTTTAGGGCTTGTAATGTGTCACTTTTAATCATGTGCCATATTGCCCATCATATGTCACTTCAGTGGGCACAAATGCATAGTGATGTTTAGGATGCAATCAGCATTGTCACCTGTATCAGGAAATATGGGTACTTACTTAAGGGCCTAGTACTGAAAGAGCCACATTGCAAACAGTAGTTCCGAGCAAGTTTTCCCTCATCACATAAAGCATCCACCGTTGCATTGTCATACAAGAACTCATCAACATGCACAGTATGCTCCTGTGTGCAGTCTGAATTCTGAAAATTAAAAAACATTCAAATTACACTGTGTAGAAAACAGAGAAACCACTGTCCAGTGATTGATAAAAGCTATGTTTTAATTTTTCAAACTTTACATGTTTCAGTCAAAACAGCCATCTTCAGAAGGATATTATCAACACATATGGAAGCTACTATTACCATGTCATAGATATAAATGTTATATCTTTTAACTAATACTAAGATGTACATTGATTTGTTAAAACATCTAAAATTATTATAATTAGTCTTTTTACAAAGTAATGTTCAATATTTGTTTTAATCAAGAACCAATCTGGTTCCTGTTGTTACACTTCCTCTCCTTAACAAAAGAAGAATATATTCCACAGCAGTTTCACTGTCTGATGATGAAAGCTCTAGTTACATTAGTATACTAGTTATATTAGTATAACAAACACAGCATAGTAGCCTGAATAAGTGGACCACTATATAAAAAACTTTGAAATATATTCATCTTCTGTTAAGAAGAAGTGTAACATCACAAATCAAATTTGTTCTAGATTAAAACAAATACTGAACATTACTTTGTAAACAGATTAATTATAATAGTTTTTAGATGTCTTAACAAATCAATGTACATCTTAGTATTAGTTACAAGATATAACATTTATATCCATGACATGATAATAGTAGTTTCCATGTGTGTTGATAACATCCTTCTGGTCATTTTGACCAAAACATGTAAAGGATGAGAAATTAAAACACAAATTTTATCAATCACATTAGATGGTGGTTAAAAATCTTATATACAATTACTAGTGTGACAAACCAAGATGATCCAAGTTAAGAGACATCATACTTAACACACTGAGGACCGGTCGCATGATATCATGATTTTAGGACACGTTAGAGTGTAACACACTATACCTTTCTCTGGCGCCACCAAAATGAAATGACTACTGCGTAATATTATTCCGGAATGTTTGCTTAGTAGGCAGTAACGTGATCTCGCCGTTTGGGTTCCCCCTCCAAAGAAAAATTATCTTTGACCCTTCAAGCTCTTATGTACCAGGCAGGAAGTTAGTGCAATATAAATCAAGGACAGAAGTGGTTGAAGACGAAATGATCTCTCGGAGAACAAGAAATATCTGACTTGTTCTCCGACGAGCTATCTGACGTTCCTTCTGAGACGTGTAGTGACAATGATTTAGACAGTGGCAGTGACAGGGGACAACAAACAATTGTGGCCATAGACAGTAAAAGTGAAAGTAGCTCCGACGAAAGTGCAGGTAGAACTGGAGGTAGTAAAATTGCGGGGACAGCCACATGAGGAAAAGTAGACAAAACGCCTATTTTGGGATAGTTTACTGGAAATCCAGGGGTGAAATAAATTCCATCGGACCCAACGCAAGTGTCTGAAGTAGCAGAACTGTTTTTTGGAGATAGGGATACTCGTGTTGTGAATATGATTTCCACAATTTACAATTCGAGGATGGTTGATGTTCAAAGGAGACATGGACAAGTAAAAAGGCCTATTTGTATTTCTGAGTATAATATGTTCATGAAGGGAGTTGATAGAGCCAATCAATACTTGGCCTATTATTCTCTTCCGAGGAAAATAATGTGGACATAGAAAGTTGTTTTGTGGCTTATAAATTGTGCCATTTTCAATTCATTTTTGGTTTTCAAAAATCTAAACCCTGGTTTGAAATTGAAATACAAAGCATTTCTGATGAATGTGGCAAAGGCCTGGGCTATAGACCAGATGGTGGCGGCAGAACCAGAGTCAAACACAGACTTAGCGCAACTGGGCCCATCAACTCTCACCCCTCTTAGGCCTCATGTGGACCCACCTGGGCAACTATTGGGTGATATGCGGAAACATACCCTTGTGAAAACTGTGAAGGGTGAACATTCCAAGGGGAAGCATCCTTCTAGGCAGTGCTGTGTTTGCACAGTTCACAAAAAAAGGAGTACGATTGTCTACATTGCAGGTTCTGTGTAATGCCACTTCACAAGGGGGAACGTTTCCAGAAATATCACACTCTCAAACACTTCTAGAAGCATTGGTAAGTGTTTTCCAAAAATTTTAGTTCATAAAATTAATTAGGAGATTTTATATTAATTTTTAAACTGAACAGTGCACAAGTTAGGGTAGTAGGTTTAAAAATGCCAGTCCCCAGAGTGATCTAAATATTTAAATTGTCAGTCCGCAAAGTGTTAAAAAGCAAGGTAAGGAACAGCTTCTTCCCAAACCGTGTGAAATTTATGAAGGTATATCTGTCAAAAACTGGTCACAGTAGCCGAGTGGTCTAAGGCATGTACTGTCTTCGGTCACTTGGAAACCGGGATCGTGGGTTCGAAACCCACTCAGGGCATGGATGTTTAGTTTGTGTGTGCATTTTTCTGTGTCTGTGTACAGGTAAAGGCCTTGCGATGAGCTGATCACCCACCCAAGGAGTCCTACCGAATGTGTAAGATCTAGAAAAACCGAAGTGAACGGAGAAGTTCATGGAGGTAGGCCTAGGCCCATTGGGGCTGCAGTGCAAAAGAAAAAAAATCTGTCAAAAAGTACTCATAATGTAAAAGGCAAGGCAAAGTTCTCCCTGTGCTTAACTAATTAAGCGCTACGCCATGAACACATATGGGGGAGTGGATGTATAGATCCATGTTTTCTTGACCTCAGCACTAGCTGGAGGTGAGGGATCAATTTCACCCCCCACCCCCCACCCACAGAAAGAGTTCCCAGTACTCACTGGGTGGGCCCCAGAGCCAGTCTGGACAATGTGAAGAAGAGAAAATTCTTGACCCTACTGGGACTCGAACTCCGATCCCTCAGTTGTCTACCTCATAGCCAGCTGTTATACCGACTATGCTATCCTGGCTCCCACTCTATTGACAATAAATTTTTATGCACAAGTGCCAGTAAACACTACTCTACCTTTCCAAAAGCAGGTGGTCGAATTGTCTCTGATGGAAGAATTGCTTCGGGTGGTAGAGAGCTGCGCAGATCAGAAGCAATAGCATCCAGTATCTCCTCAGAAGTCTCAGTGTCCTTCAGGTTGCAGTCTTGCAAGAATAAGTTTTTCATTAATATATAGTACCTTTCATTAATCCACTGACATAATTATTTTGACAGCCATGAGACACCTGTCTATGTTATGTTAGCTATTTTCATCACAATGAAACATTGACCTAACACTGTGAAGTAGACATTTTCTCGAGAGGTCAACAGTCATTCAGTTAACTGAAATATTTCCTATCTTACTGTTGAATCCAAGGTTCATTACAGTGTTCACAAGGGCCCACCACTGGACCATATACGGAGTCACTTTAATCCAGTCCACATCCTCACTCTGTAATCTAAAATTCCATTAATACCTTCAGGCTGGAAAATCGAGACAGCTCAGTTGGAAAAGTGACAGGTCACGAGCTGGATGGTTCAGGTTCGATTCCTGGTATTGCAAGATTTTTCTCTTCTCTGCAGTATCCAGAGTGACTCTGGGGCCAACCCAGCCTCCTATTCAATGGCTACTGGGGACTCTTTCCCCAGGGGGTTTGAAGTGGCAAGAGCATGTAGCTAACCACTCACCTCAAACTAGTGCTGAGGTCAAGAAAAGCAGAACTATACCTCCACTCCCCCATGTGTCTTCATGGCAGTGCTTATGTGATTAAGCACAGGAACAACTTTACCTTTTACCTTCAGGCTGAATAAATTTCTGTATGCATTTCTCATTTGTCCCTTGCATGCTGCATGCCCTGCCATCAATTTTTCCTTGGTTTTATCACCCTATTAAGAGTACAAATTTGCGCTCATTATGTTACTTTCCTCATTTTCCTGTAACTGTCTCTCGGGTCAAAACATTGCCTTTAGATACCTTGTTTTGAGATTCATTCAATCTGTGTTCTTAAATTTAAGGCAAGAGACCAAATTTTAAATGAATATAAAACAACAAGCAAAATTTTAGTTTTGGATACTATAAACGTCATGTTTATTCTGTGTTGTGTCTAGTAAGCATAAACAGAACACAAATTTTGTTACATTATCAGTACCTGATGTCACGCTAAATGTTTATTAAATTCATAATTCATAATTCATAATTTTATTTACCNCCGCCACTCCCCTCTGCGGTGACGTCACCGAGGGATATCGCGGTCGCTAGGCAACGCGAGTCAACAGCGGCGACGTTACGATAGTAACAGCGGTTACCTCCGCTAGCGTTACATAGCAACACAGCGCCAGGCAAAAAGGGTGCCTATTACGTGGTCGTATTGTCCGATCGAGGCTACATAGGAAGAAGCGAAGGCTATTCACAGTCAGTTATAAAGCAACAGTCGCCGAGTCGAGTTGTACTGAGTTGTACTGTAACAGTCGCCGAGTCGAGTTGTACTGAGTCAGTCAGTGAGTCCTGGAGCTACCGCCGAGTTAGCCAGCAACTAGTCAGTTGTATTCTGGCATTTGGAGTGTACTAATTGTGATACTGCAGATAGCAGTAATCGTAAATCTGTAATTTGAGTGATTGTAAGTGCGAATGTGAAATAAAATTCGCTACATCAAATACGTCGAGAAGTTATTTGTCGCGATATACCCCGCGATACGCGACAATATTATATAAAAAAAACCACCAGCACATGCATTAACAGACAATTCATTCATTCATCAGTAATCTGTCAGATGACAGGTCCACAGCCTCTTCCAAAACAGTTTCTCCACTTAATGCGATCTTCTGTTTTTGGAAAGACACTATCCAGGAATAGTGATAATGTGGTAGTTTTTCCATTTGCTTTCCACATCGCAGTACAACAGCCGTTCAAACCACTCTGGTAACGCCTGTTGCTATACGAACTTGAACCATCTCGAGCATCATTTTCTCTGTGCTTCAAGTCGCCGCTGATTACAGACAATTACAGTCATTTAATTCCACATCTTACATATAAAAAAACTCCTGAAGAGAGTAGAAGGCATTATGCAACAAATAACACTTCAATTTCCTCCTAAACACTTTAAAATCAGATACATTCTTTAACTCCATAGGAAGATTATTGTATAGTTTTATGCCCATGTTTATCACACTTCTCTTACAACGATTTGTATTACAATGTTGGGCATACAGATTAATAGGTCTAAGTGCATGGTCACCATATTGTAAAGGTGTCTGAGGCAATGGCTGCCATATTAAAAAGACATGCTCTTAACACAAAATAATATAATGATAAGAAAACAACTGGTTACCATTCAACCAATTCCACTGTATCCAATCAAGAAACTGCTTCAAGTTGTCCGAATTATTCAACTTTCTGACAATGTTCAGAAATCCCTCTTGTGCCTCTGGAAGTGACAGCTTCTCACTAGAATCACAAGACATCTCAGTTTCCAGTGATCAACCTGTAAGCAAAGATTGATTGTGTCTGAGGGACAAGGTGCTGTAAACTATACGGATCAGCAAAATGTGCAAACAGCACATAGAAACCCAGTATCTTCTATGTTCCTCCTACCATACATTACACCTGACTCACTTTCATGTCTTTGCAATAAATTTTCTCTAGCAGAATATAATGCAACGGGGTTGACTAAAGCATTGCTAAGTAACTGACCATTAAACACCTCATGACAAAATACATGCAAGGCAACAATAGAAGTATGGCATTGTCTATGTAGTCGGCACCACAACGACTGCTATGCAATGTCATGGTAAACACTCCTCTACAACAATGGAGGCTGTTTTCTGTGTGTCCGTGCAGAGGCTATATAACAATTAGAGACAGAACACATGGTGTTCACATGGCCCTCCTTGCAGACAACACCTGTCTGTGTGCGACAGATCGCAGGGAGGGTTTTATTGTTAGAAAACTCCAGCGCGGTCTCAGCTCAATGGACACCTAGTGTGAGCGCTGGAATATTAAAATTAATGAAGATAAGACTCAGGGGGTCTACTTCTCTCGTAGCTGACGACCGCCTGAGTCTTGTCTCACTCTAAATGGACGAGATATTCCATCTGTAAATAGTGCAAAATATCTAGGTGTAATCTTCGATAAGAGAGTTACATGCAGATTGCACATAGAAATGATCGAAGCCAAGGCCTTCAGAACATTCATTAGAATACATTCCCTATTCAAAAGTGAGCGATTGAGCGCTAATATTAAACTGACCCTACACAAAGCTCTTATTAGATCTGTAATGACTTATGCTAGTCCCGCCTGGGAGTTTGCAGCAGACACTGATCTAGTGAAATTGCAGCGCCTGCAAAACAAGGTTCTCCGCCCCACTGGCAATTTTCCAAGGCGCACACCGGTCCGCGATTCGCACATGGCATTCAAAATCCCATACGTATATGATCACATAACAAAATTATGCAGGCAACAAGCAGAAGTCATACAAAATCATGAAAATGAGAATGTTCACAACATTGGACAAGGTGAAGCCTGACACAGAAAGTATAAGAAGCTTAATCTTGGCGGAGGTCAGGCATACTACCATTCAAGTGACTAGACTGCTGTGGTGGCGAATACTGGTAGAAATAGGGAAAAATCTGTACTGAACCTGGATTGACAGAGGCCTTGTATATATTGTACATATAAATAGGAATTAAGATTAAATTTGTAAATATATGTAAATACTGACAATGGACTTACTAACACAGACTATGACTGACAATGACAGCTCCGACCTCTCGACAGAGAGGGCATCCCAAAGGAACAGGACAGTAACTTTCATATAAGAAAAAAAAATGTGGTCAGGAGCCCCAGCTGGGGCTCGACACCAAGACAGACAGACTGACGGACCATCAGTCACAATGTGACTTGGACTTGAACAGACTTAGGTGTTTAAGTATCAGTGAGAGAGTTCTCCATATGAGACATCCACAGGAAGTTTGTAGAAGGCCTGTGAAGACTTTAAGTGTGATCTGAAGACTGTGTTTATGTGTAATACTGGAAGTGTGTGAATCAGGGAGACTTACGAGGGGGTACCCAAGAGAAACCGAACTTATTTTTTTTTAAACTTATTTATTCAAATTTTAAGCACAAACCTTCAATCCCCTTCAAAGTACTGTCCACTTACACTAATAAACTTGTCTAGTCTTTTATTCCATTTTTCAAAACATTGTCTAAATTCATCTTTTGAGATGCTTGACAGTGCCTCCGTCATTTTTTCCTTTCATGTCTCTTTTCATTCGAGGAAACAAAAAAAAGTCGCACGGGGCAAGGTCGGGTGAGTATGGAGGGTGAGGAACAGGGGTCATACCATTTTTGGTCAAGAACTGTCATACAGACAGGGCTGTGTGAGCAGGGGCATTGTCATGATGGAAAAACCAGTCACCCGACTGCCACAAATCTGGCTGCTGAGCTCCAAGTCACTCCCGACAGCTCCACAATTTCTTCAATGGTCCATCGTCGATCTTCCTTGATGATTTCACGAATTTTTTCAACATTTTCATGTGTTCAGGCCGTGGAAGGACGACCAGAACGAGGTTTGTCATCAATTGATATTTCACTATTTTTGAAACGGGAAAACCACTCAAACACTTGAGTTTTCCCCATAGCATTGTCCTTGTACGCCGTTTTTAACATTTCAAGAGTTTCTGTTCCACTTTTCCCGAGCAAAAAGCAGAATTTCACCGCCGCACGCTGTTCACGAAAATCAGCCATTGCAAAAACGACGATCACACAAAACAGTTGTCACTATAAACTCTGCCGAAACTAGTCCTTACCTTCTGAAGCAACGGTAGGCGGCTTATCAACTCAGGAATGTTAGCTCTATGCGCTCATAGCGGCAAAACACGGTACTACAAAAGCTCTGCCCACAAAAAAATTAGTTCGGTTTCTTTTGGATACCCCATCATATAGTTTTTGTGTTGAGATCCATTACAAGGAGAGGAGGCGGGAGTGCTTGAGTGTGCACGTGTGTGTGTGTAACAGTGAATTATGAAGTGTGTAAATCAGCAATAAGGCTGTAATTTAAGTGTGATTAAGAGAGGTTGTAACCAAAGTGCAAATAAATCCAATCACTCGAACTAAACCTGTCATTTCCGTCACGGGTACCATCCTACACATGACAACAACTCTGAAGCTCTCAACACCGATACAGAAAGGTGGAAACTGCATAACCTAGCATGCAGCTGCTTGCCTAGTGACTAGTCATGACTTGTACTTACAAGAGCTTAAGGTAAAACATTAAAAAAAAAACAATGAAATACAAACATTAAGTTCATGAAATTGTCAAAGCTGATGAAAGTCCTCTGTTTTAGATTTCAGACTTTGATGGAGGTTCAGTGTTAATATGGCTCTATTTATGGGCATAGCACCATACAGATACAGGCTGTTTCCTAATTATTTCATACATCCTTACTGTCTACATCATCAAGGTGACTACTCAAAAAGTCCTACTGATAATTACAGTACAGGTTGACATGTCACAGTATATCATATGCATAATCTAGCCGAACAGAATGAATTTCTTCTGACTTGTTGCCCTCAGTATAAAGCACTCTGAGGTAATGTTCCTGAATTACTAAGCAAACATATTTTTTGGCAAAATCTTAGAATTTCCTGTACCAGACACATACAAAAGATAAACAGCTTCCTGAAAAACAATCATCCACATTAATCCACCAAGAAATTTTGAAAAGGGGGCAGAAAATGATGTAACTCTCAGCCATCCAACTAACTATTAAAGACATAGAAACTGAGGTACATCAAAATACATCAGAAGACATACTAGATGAAAAGAGGGTTTCAGATCCTACAACATGATGTTTTATCTCTCTACATTACATGCCTGGATTTCCTGCTTCAAATATGTAATACACATGTTTAATATGGGTCTACTGATTGACAAACCTGCTAATATTGGAAACACATCCAGAAAATTTTATCAAAGTGCTCCCATAATAGATTACTGAAGATCTGAAATGCAATGTTTGTGTGATTTGAGAAACTTCTACTAGAGGCTGTGAAATAAATCTTAGAGGCCATTGAATTATTGTTCAGTATTAAAACAAGGAAGACGTATATGAACCCACACTTATGGTTCTATATGCCTGCTAGGACACATGACATTTTAATAAATGGTCTCAACATTACTGAATCACACACATAGTATAGCTAACCAAAGAGGCTCAACAGGCAAGTATCAGAGTCATAAAATAATTTGGAAATAGCATACAGAATGGCTAATAATGAGACATGCTATCCTTGCTTACAACCTTTTCAGTACAGTACCACTACTGGTCTGGACAGCCTGAGGTAACACAAACAGCATGTTTTCTTCCATCTAAGCAGACAAATAATTTTCGGGACGCTCTCTCATGACTGCATAAATAAATAAATAAACTTCAAATTCAGTGAATTATAGATCACTGCACTGAAAGTTCAGTCTTTTCTTTAAACAAAAAAGATGAACATTCCATAATGATGAACTCTTAATATAGACAGATTTCAAAGTATGCTTTTCAAGTTATGATGAACTGTACATACACCCGAGGTGAGACAAATTGCCAATTGACAACCCACGGTGTGGTTGTAAGGAGCAAAAATTCCAAGGTTAACTGGTTTAAGCCAAGTGACATAATTCAGTCTTGTGGCATTTATTTATTAAAAAACAAACAACAAAAAAACTGTTCTACTGCTGCATAACCTCAATGAAAAACCAACTTCTGTGCCGATCCAGAAAATTGTCTACATTTTCGATACCTGCCGGAAATTATTATACTTTTCTGATATACTGCCATTACACGTACTCTAAAGTACTACTTTTCCATGGATTAACTGCTACACTGACGATTTTAAACCTAAACATCAAGCACATGCTTCACACGTTGCTACGACATGTATACCAACCATACCGATGTATACATCCAGCAACATGTCGGAAATTTCTATCTTGTACCATACGAAATTCTCTTTGCAGTAACATTTACCTGCTGTGACTTGGAGAGCTCAGAGCTGACATGAGCACGGATTACTAAGCGTGAACGTAGTACGTAGCGGTAGGTAGGTGAGGGAGTATGCTGCCATCCTCTCCTGCGGTACTAATGTTAAATACGGCTTCGGAAGCTCTGTCGGGATAAAATTAACTGTCCTGTCTTCACGAAGTCCCGAGAGCCTGTGTAACATTTCGTAAGAAAAAAAAATCTTTACGGAGACGAATTGTTAGGTTCACGACCAAACCCCGTCTGGAGGACCACCCCTTGTCGACTATCAGTGACTGCTTATTCAATATATTCGCAGCTACCCTCAGTACCTAGAGGCCGTCTCCTCCATCGGCAACTCAAGGAAGCACCATGCTATGGTGACAAGCGACCCGATTTCTATTAGGAAGTTCCAGGAAAACAAAGTGTGACTGTAAACAAATGGGACACACCGGCTTCTGGTCTATGCTGATTATGT